AAGTTGTATGATGCCTACATTTATACAAACTTTATTTCACTTCCCAAGATAAGATCAACTTCATTGATCTCTGATGGAGGAAAGTACGTCTCACATTTGGCACAGATCGAAGCACTCAGATTGTGCAAAAGACAGAAGTGTGCAACATTGGATGGCACAGTGGCTGAGTGGTTAGCCCTCTCGCTTCTCAGCAAGAGGTTCGAATCCCGGTTGGAGCAGGGCCTTTCTGAGTGGCGTTTGCATCTTCTCCCTGTATCTGCATAGGTTTCCTCTCGGTAATATGGTTTCCCCTACCACTAAACCCATGTCCAATTGGCGACCTGCTCCCATCTCTGTGTGCAGGGAGAAAATTGTAAACCGCGTGGTGACTCTGGTCTGTAAAAGGCACTATATAAATAAAGATTACTTACATGTTACCATAAAAAGTGGCTATAGCGGTGCTGGTTTTCAGTCCTAGTGCAGGGCATTAGTGACTCAAAGGGACTTGTACAGTGGCAGCGGTGGGGATGAAGGCCACAGTAGATAAGTGCACCTGTTTCATTCAGAAGGAGCTACTCAGGGAATGCAAATGACACTGTCTGTCTCTTAAATCACATATTTATCTGACATTTCTAAGGCAAAGGAAAGTCAAGGTTTGCATTCCACTGTGTGTGTTTTTTCATCTGCTTTCATACCTGTTCAAGGCTTTAAAAAACATACATTACTGCAGTCCACTCATCCACACCATTAATGCAATACAAGTGTAAGCGTAGGTGGATATGGGGTGGTTCGTAGTTAGCTCAGCCGGGACATCTCGAACCAAATCCATAAAGGAAGCACAGGTCAGGCGCATTGATAAGAGGCATACTTAGCATTACATCATATTTATTTTTATTGGTTATCCTAAGTTTGCATCACAAGTAGGACATCAGTTACCCAAAGCATAGAGTCACAACTCCATTTAGCGTACATTGTGCAGGTAGACAAGGCGCCGCGCTCCACCAGAACTCTCGCAGGTTGTTCCCCAGCTACAGCCGGACTACAGTCTGACCGGGGGCAGATCCACAGCGCTCCCGGGAGGTAGCCAACTGGGGATACTTGCAGGTCTGGAGCTACATCGCGGGACACAGCCACGCCGCAGACTACACAAACAAGCAACACTTAGGACCTTCATACATACAGTATATGCCCATCATACGTTACTTTACTTCACTGTACTGCTGTCAGCTTACATTGTGTGCACCATGTGCACTTGTATATTGTAAATAGTAACTGTAACTCTATTTTAAATTTAAATTTATTCTTTAGAAGTGTTTTTTATTCTTATTTTTATTATCTCTTTCTGACTGTTGCACTGAGCCAAAGCAATTTCCAAGTCTGTGACCTCCTGTTACTTACGTGGCAATAAAAATGATTCTGATTCTGATTCTGATATCCGCATGACAATATTTACCTTAGGGCCAAGGAAGGACGGGGCCAACAAAACTGGCAGAACCAGGAAGTAGGCAAGAGGCAGACATGACAATAGAGGCTTTTATATACGGCAGACCGCCCCCTAGTGACTAAATACCGGTACCAATAGAAGCCCGCATTGTCACACAAGGACAGCACCATGCAGCAGGACACAGGCCCAAACCCTCTCTGACCCTTCCCCTCAACACGAAAATGATGATCCGGGACATTCATGAACATTTGTGGTCATCCCGCAGTGGTCAGGCCTGTGTATGAACGTCCACAACTGTATGCAGAGCTCTCCCTGTCGACTGCAGCTGTGGTTTAGGGTTTTTCTCCTCAGCGTTGTGAAAAATTCATGAGATATTTCAGATACATGAATAAAATATAGAGTGCATCCAAGATTAAGTCATCATTAATATATCGAACCCTTTGCTGTGATCTCTGTCAGACACTGTGAATAATGCACTGAGGTCATTATAATGTGCAGCAGTGAGATTGTTCCGACCAAACAGAATCAGATGTTAATGTGTTTTACAAGGTTATTGTCGGTTAATGAAGTACCGGGCAGTGCGGGCTGCAGTGTGATGATGTAGAGTGAGCAGGACGCCAAACGTATGTATTATTCACACTTTTACAACTTTTAAAAGGTCGCATAGTGCACTTTTCGACTTTTCTCTGCTTTAATCAGTACAGTGCTAATCGTCCAAAGTAGTTTTAAAATTGCTTATATGAAGGTAACACAGGCTGAAGCCGTATTAGCTATATTTGCCTAATAGCTTATGACAAAGTAAAGGCTACAAACACATAATAAACATTCATGATTATCAAATGTGTTTTCACTGTGTCCTGGAGAGAATGACGCACCACGGGACGACTCTGCTTTAACTTAAACTTCCATTTTTTTGTCTTCGTGCAGTTGTAGAAATACAGTGAATAAATCTGCTTTTGGCTCAGAGTTCACCTGCATCAGAGTCTGTTCATATCCATCAGGGTCTGTTCATATCCATCAGAGTCTGTTCATATCCATCAGAGTCTGTTCACCTGAATCAGAGTCTGTTCATATCCATCAGGGTCTGTTCATATCCATCAGGGTCTGTTCATATCCATCAGAGTCTGTTCATATCCATCAGAGTCTGTTCATATCCATCAGAGTCTGTTCACCTGAATCAGGGTCTGTTCATATCCATCAGAGTGTGTTCATATCCATCAGAGTGTGTTCATATCCATCAGAGTGTGTTCATATCCATCAGAGTCTGTTCATATCCATCAGAGTCTGTTCATATCCATCAGGGTCTGTTCATATCCATCAGAGTCTGTTCATATCCATCAGAGTCTGTTCATATCCATCAGAGTCTGTTCATATCCATCAGAGTCTGTTCATATCCATCAGAGTCTGTTCATATCCATCAGGGTCTGTTCATATCCATCAGAGTCTGTTCATATCCATCAGAGTGTGTTCATATCCATCAGAGTGTGTTCATATCCATCAGAGTGTGTTCATATCCATCAGAGTCTGTTCATATCCATCAGAGTCTGTTCATATCCATCAGGGTCTGTTCATATCCATCAGAGTCTGTTCATATCCATCAGAGTCTGTTCATATCCATCAGAGTCTGTTCATATCCATCAGAGTCTGTTCATATCCATCAGAGTCTGTTCATATCCATCAGAGTCTGTTCATATCCATCAGGGTCTGTTCATATCCATCAGAGTCTGTTCATATCCATCAGAGTCTGTTCATATCCATCAGAGTCTGTTCATATCCATCAGAGTCTGTTCATATCCATCAGAGTCTGTTCATATCCATCAGAGTCTGTTCATATCCATCACAGTCTGTTCATATCCATCACAGTCTGTTCATATCCATCAGAGTCTGTTCATATCCATCAGAGTCTGTTCATATCCATCAGTCTGTTCATATCCATCAGAGTCTGTTCATATCCATCAGAGTCTGTTCATATCCATCAGTCTGTTCATATCCATCAGAGTCTGTTCATATCCATCAGAGTCTGTTCATATCCATCACAGTCTGTTCATATCCATCAGAGTCTGTTCATATCCATCAGAGTCTGTTCATATCCATCACAGTCTGTTCATATCCATCAGAGTCTGTTCATATCCATCAGAGTCTGTTCATATCCATCAGTCTGTTCATATCCATCAGAGTCTGTTCATATCCATCAGAGTCTGTTCATATCCATCACAGTCTGTTCATATCCATCAGAGTCTGTTCATATCCATCAGGGTCTGTTCATATCCATCAGGGTCTGTTCATATCCATGAGAGTCTGTTGATATCCATCAGGGTCTGTTCATATCCATCACAGGCTGAAGTTTGTTAGAGCTGAATGTCCTTTTCTTTCACGCTTTTGTCTGAAAGTAGGTGCTCTGAATTTGTGATGAATGAATCTTTCAGTGAACGGTGTTTAAAGCTTCATTGTTCCTCGTGTTGCAACAAAACTTCTCATCACAAACATGAAGCAGTCGTTCTTCATCGACTGAAAGCAAATCTTCTTGTTCTTAGTCCAGTCTTATTATTGACTCTTTCTCTTGTTATCTTTGGGATCCGTGCGCACACGCTGGTTTGTTTACCCCAGCGACGGAGACCAGAGTCACAAAGCGGGTTACAGTTGTTATTTTTGGGCACTTGTCTGTCACTCCACACAGAGATGGGAGCGGGGCCAGTACAGGAGGGACAGACCTATTGGACATGTTTTTAGTGGTAGGGGAAACCGGAGCATCTGGAGGAAACCTTCTTTAGGAAATCAAACTTTAGGATTCCTCGTGAAGAGATTAACAAAGACTTTCGCACTAAGGACTTTACAAAAAGACGCAGGAAAAGGTGCCATCGGCCCCTCACACACACACCAGACTCATTCTAGGCAATGGGGGTGAAGTGTCTTGCCTAAGGACACAACGACAGCAGACAGTGGGAGTCGATGGTGAAGGTCGGGCTCAAACCCACGACCCTCTGGATCAAAGGCCAATGCTCTACAACTGAGCTACTGTCGCCATGTAGCTTTTGTGAATACAGAAAAAAATCATCTGAGCTGTTTATATTTTGGTAAATAGGATATATTTGTATTTATATTGATTCCATTAGTTGTACTGCAGCGTCAAAATAATGTTATGCCGTAAAATTAAATATGTTTGCATTGAAATTACAAAACACAAGTTGTATTTGTTCAACTTTATACAATTTTGGTAAGAAGGGGTAAATAACTGATTGAATAAAAAAACATTGCAAATGAACGAAAACATAAAGAAATTGGGATTACATATTAAAACAACTATTATAACAAGTACAATCAGATTCATACACACAGATCCATTTATCCTACCACTAAGGATGAGGCCCTGACCCATTATAAAAACTCAAATACACTAAGAACAAGATATGCACTGTCACTGGGTTTAAAACAATTATAGTTTAGACACAGTGACAGTGACTTTTCAATGTTGTGACTAAATTGTTTAAAAAAAAAATAATTTCCCATATTTGTGAAATGAACTCCGTCCCTAATAAATAGACCAGGGCAGTCAAACGTTATGGTAGGATGACAGACCATGTACCCCCCAAGACAACTCACAAACTCGGACATAACATTATTAATAAAGCGCTTGGCCCCATTGATCCGCCCCGGCTTGGCGTCCCTCCACAGGCGTCGATCGGTCACTTGTGAAAACAACAGTTTTATGGATGGATACCGCCTGTGGAGGTCCTGTAGGTCCTGCTTCATCGCTGTGACCAAGTCCACGCTCTTCACCTTCCCGAGGTCGTTGCTGCCGCAGCAGATGAGCAGGACAGCCGGGGCGGACCGTCCCCGTAGCAAGTGCAAAAGCCAGGGCACCAGGCCGCTCCAGCGGAGTCCTCCGCGGCCAAACCACTGGATGTGGGCCGCCATCCCTAAGTTCTGACCAAGGGTCCCGGCCGCCCGGTCGCGACCACGCCGGACATAACTGTCACCCATAATCCATACGCTGGGTTCTGTTCAAATACACACGGTTTTTAGTCACTGTATAACATTTCATTGGATAATGTCAGCGTCTTATCTTGAACATTCATAGATGTCCTCCTCCTCTCGCTCTCCTCCCGCTGTGGCTGGTTTTTCATAAGTAAATTCTAAGAATATAAAATAATATGGATGATGCAGATCATTTTATTGTTTACGACATTGCAAATCATTCACACTTGTCCGTTTACCTTGGGAAAGTGAGTGATCAAAGTGTTAATTGTGGGGGAGGGAAATGTATCAAAACATCTAACGGTCGACAGCTGCACTATAAAACCCCTGGGAAACTTAATTCTGAACTTCTAACTTTAAAGATAACTGGTTAAAACAATATTATATTACTATGTTAATGTTATGAAATTAACAATAAGCAGACCATTAGCCCGCTAGCTTACCCTCCATTCAACAATAGGCCATATTGATTTAACTATTTTTCTCTTTCCCGAATATTTATAGTATGCATTCGTTGAAGACATTATTACTACTTTTTAGAACATCATGAATAGCCCTTTTTAAGGCCTTTGCAGCCTCATTGTGTGTCGGAGAAGACAAGAAATGGTTCTAAAATGACACATGTATGAATGTTGGTGCTCTCAGGATCAAGTGTGCCATGTTCAGGACATGTAGGATGTATTTTGATTTCTTAGATACATTTATGGTATGCTAATGTGAGCACTGTTAAATTCAATCTTACAATAACACATGTAGGCATAAAATAAAGTACTTAATTCTATTGTTAAGGTAATTTGGGTTTAATACAGAAGAGAATACAAGAGAGTTCATGCTACCTTAAAAAAATACATCTTCTTACAGTAAATATAAAACAGACCCAAACATATAATACATTAATGTTGCCTTAAAACCTTGCTATTTTCTTCAGATTTCCTCTGAACGACAAGAAGAGACTGGCACAATGGGTTGCAAGAGTGAGGCGTAAGAAATGGGCGCCAAATACCAACTCCAGGCTGTGTGCTGCTCACTTTGCCGAGGAAAGTTTTTCGATCAAAGGTGGGAAACAGTGCCTTACTCCATCAGCTGTTCCTACTATATTTGACTATTCCCTCAAAAGGTCAGTTTGTATCAGCTCAGAAATTACCCAGCATTGCCTTTGCTGCACTCATTACAGGTAAGAATCACACATATGCAAGTAACTTTCAGAAAATTGAGCTGACTGAAGACAAAGTTATCGAGTTTGACCAAGACACCAAAAGCTCAATCTTTGATACCAGCGGTGATGTGTCTTCAAATCCTGAGCCACAAAACTTGCGTCCCCCTAATATAGCTGTAGCGTCACAACCAACCATTGCATTGGATCAAATAGATGACAGCAAAGCACAGACATCTACCAGTACAAGCCTGGACCATCAGTATGCGGGCCGAGACATTCAGGACATGGAGCTGTCGGAAGACAGAGTCATCGAGACTTATCACCCCCCCTTCCACACCTTTAGCACAGGCACGAACAAGTCAGTAGCATAATTATAGCATAGCAGCATCACCCAATACCGCTAAGCGCAAGTTGAAGACAGAGTTGGACCACTGTCGCAAAAGACTTAAGACAGAGAAAAAAAGGACAGTACGATTGAAGAACAGAAGAGATTCCCTTTCAGTAGTCTGCAGTAATTGAAGAGCTAAAAGACCAAAACCTGATTTTTACGGGGTGCTACGAAATGGAGAGTTCTTTCAGTGGCATCAACTAGGAAATTATTACCAGAATGGAAAAAGGCAACAAGTCAAAAGTGTCAGAGGAATTGCGGTCTTTCGCTTTGACACTACATTTTTACTCAGCCAAGGCTTATTCCTATGTGCGTGAGTGTTTTGAGTTGGCTTTACCTCATCCAGACACCATCAGGAACTGGTACAGTGAAGTTTAATCTGATCCTGGCTTCACAAAGGCGTCTTTTATTGCTCTTCATGTACAGCAAAGGCAGCAGTTACGAAAGGAGACCCTTTGTGCTTTGATGATGGATGAAATGGCAATACGAAAGCATATTGAATATAGCGCTGGGAAATGTCATGGATATGTTGATCTGGGATGTAACGTTGTGGACGACAGTCTTCCTCCAGCAAGAGATGCTCTTGTCATTATGGCTGTGGTCATAGACGATTTCTGGAAGCTCCCAGTGGCTTCTGTCTTCATTAATTCACTCACAGGTGAGGAACGTGCAAACATGGTGAGTGAATGTCTTCGTCGACTTCACAGTGTTGCCGAACGTATTGCCATGTCTCTAGGCTCAAAGCCTTTGGAGCAGACTTGGAAGTACTTTCAATGCGGCCCTCCTTTCCACATCCGTCCAGTCAGTCTCCACTTCATGTACTCTTGGATGTGTGTCACATGGTAAAGCTGCTGAGAAATACACTGGCTGATTGGGGTGTTCTGCAAACATTAACAGGTAAGATTGAGTGGAGGTATCTTGTTGAGCTGAATAAGCTCCAAGAGAAAGAGGGTCTCAGACTTGGAAACAAGTTGAAGATGGTGCATATAAAGTGGGAAAGGCAAAAGATGAAGGTGAAGCTGGCCACACAGGTTTTCAGCATCAGTGTTGCTGATGCTCTGGAATATTGCAACCAACACCTGCAATTGCCTCAGTTCAGAGGTTGTGAGGAGACAGTAGACTTCCTGAGAACAATCGATGCTGCGTTTGATGTTCTCAACAGTAGGAATCCCCTTGGAAAGGGATACAAGGCACCCATGAGAACATCAGAGAACAAACTGCAGCAATCCTTGCAAAAGCAGAGTCCACTCTTTCTCTCAGAGACGGCAATGGGAAATCTGTGCATGCTGGAAGACAAAAATCATGCATCATTGGCTTCATTGCTAGTGCCAGAAGTGCACAGAACATCTTCCATGACCTAGTGGAAAAGGATGATGCCCAGTGCCGCTATCTACTGACGTATAAGCTCAGTCAGGATCACCTTGAGCTTTTCTTCTCCTCAGTCAGAGCACGTGGTGGATTCAACAACAATCCCACAACCACACATTTCACTGCTGCCTACAAACGGCTTCTCGTCAGACAGCAGGTGAAGACTGGCACAGGCAATTGTGTCCTTTTAGACAACACAGGCCTTCTAGGCATGAGTCCTGCGATAATTGACACCATACGTAGATTCGACCTGGAGCCTGTTCCGGAAGCCCAGTCTGAGCATGACTACTCTCTCCTGATGTTGATTCCATCTCTGAATACAAAGATGCTGTAACTACATTGGAGGATTTGTAGTCAAGAAGATAAAGGAGAAACATCTTTGCACACCATGCTCTGACGCTTTGACCTCCGGGACCTCCGTCCATCCCTTTGGTCTCCTGAAGAATAGAGGAGGATTGCAGAAGCCATCTGAGGGAATCATTTCAGTAAGTAAAGAAGCAGAGCGGTGTTTCCAACGCACACCGAGATCAACCTCTGGAGAACTTCCTCAAGGCTGTGGGCTGTCTGCAGCGATTGGAAAAGAAGTTCTGACTTACACCATGGGCAAGAGTCTTTTTCCTGGTCTGCACTGTCACTTGTTTGACACCACTGTTGAAGACAATCACATGCATCTTTTGGTGAAAATGGCAACTTCTGTTTACTGCAACATTCGTCTTCATCATTTAGCTAAAAGACAACCAGAGAAAATAACTACTGAAATAGTTAGACGCAAGTTAACAAAGTGGATCCATTTTCATCATCAGTAATGTATACATTGTCTGAAATGCATTACGTCAGCCATTACAAACGCTTTCTTTTAGCCACTGTTATTGAATAAACTCGGAGCTTGCATAAACGAAGCACAAGTATTATGGAAAAAGTGGTCATTTGTACTTTGTATTTCTTTGCAACGTATCATTGTGATTTGTGAAGACCGTACAGTTGTTTTCACAGACACATGGAGCTTGTATGAAGGAAGCACTTGTTGAATGCATAAAGTAGGTCAAATAAATATCAATGGATTAGGGTTCAGGTCTTGTGGCTCAAATAGTTAGGGAATAAAATAACTGAAACTTGGAACTTGCATCAAAGAAGTTTGAAGGTGACATAAGTTCAAAGACACTCAAAACACAGCACATTGCAATATCTTTTCTTTTTTTGTTTTCTTTTTCCAAGCCGTTCAACTGTATGTGTTTTAAAATGTTCCAAGTTATTGTTGTCTTTATAGGGTTGACTGTTGTATTTTGTATGTACTTTATTCTGTTATGCATAAACTAAAAAAATTAACAAACAAAAAATACATAAGTATCTCATAAATCAAACCGTGAAATGCAATGCCTTTTATCAGCGAAGCACCGATGGGATCCTCAACATCTGATCTCCCAGCCTGGACTCGTGGACCGCATCCCCGGCCTGGACTCGTGGACCGCATCACCAGCCTGGACTCGTGGACCGCATCCTCAGCCTGGACTCGTGGACCGCATCCCCAGCCTGGACTCGTGGACCGCATCCCCGGCCTGGACTCGTGGGCCGCATCCCCAGCCTGGACTCTTGGACCGCATCACCAGCCTGGACTCTTGGACCGCATCACCAGCCTGGACTCGTGAACCGCATCCTCAGCCAGGACTCGTGGACCGCATCCCGTGGACCGCATCCCCGGCCTGGACTCGTGGACCGCATTACCAGCCTGGACTCGTGGACCGCATCCTCAGCCTGGACTCGTGGACCGCATCACCAGCCTGGACTCGTGAACCGCACGAGTGGGCGGCACGGTGGCTGAGTGGATAGCACTCTCGCCTCTCAGCAAGAAGGTCCTGGGTTCGAATCCCGGTCGGACCAGGGCCTTTCTGAGTGGAGTTTGCATGTTCTCCCCGTGTCTGCGTAGGTTTCCTCCGGGTACTCCGGTTTCCCCTACCACTAAAAATATGTACAATAGGTCTGGCATGCGCCTCCTGTTCGGCGACCCCGCTCCCATCTCTGTGTGGAGTGAGAGGACAAATGCCCAAAAAAATAATAACAATTGTAAAACCGCTTTGTGACCCTTGTCTGTGAAAGGCGGTATATAAATAAACATTACTTACATTACTATCACCAGCCTGGACTCGTGGACCGCATCCTCAGCCTGGACTCGTGGACCGCATCCCGTGGACCGCATCCCCAGCCTGGACTCGTGGACGGCATCCCCGGCCTGGACTCGTGACCGCATCACCAGACTGGACTCGTGGACCGCATCCCCGGCCTGGACTCGTGGACCGCATCCCCGGCCTGGACTCGTGGACCGCATCACCAGCCTGGACTCGTGGACCGCATCCTCAGCCTGGACTCGTGGACCGCATCCTCAGCCTGGACTCTTGGACCGCATCACCAGCCTGGACTCGTGGACCGCATCACCAGCCTGGACTCTTGGACCGCATCACCAGCCTGGACTTGTGGACCGCATCCTCAGCCTGGACTCGTGGACCGCATCCCGTGGACCGCATCCCCGGCCTGGACTCGTGGACCGCATCACCAGCCTGGACTCGTGGACCGCATCCTCAGCCTGGACTCGTGGACCGCATCACCAGCCTGGACTCGTGGACCGCATCACCAGCCTGGACTCGTGGACCGCATCCTCAGCCTGGACTCGTGGACCGCATCCCGTGGACCGCATCCTCAGCCTGGACTCGTGGACCGCATCCTCAGCCTGGACTCGTGGACCGCATCCCGTGGACCGCATCCCCGGCCTGGACTCGTGGACCGCATCCTCAGCCTGGACTCGTGGACCGCATCACCAGCCTGGACTCGTGGACCGCATCACCAGCCTGGACTCGTGGACCGCATCCTCAGCCTGGACTTGTGGACCGCATCCCGTGGACCGCATCCCCAGCCTGGACTCGTGGACCGCATCCTCAGCCTGGACTCGTGGACTGCATCACCAGCCTGGATTCGTGGACCGCATCCCGTGGACCGCATCCCCAGCCTGGACTCGTGGACCGCATCCCCAGCCTGGACTCGTGGACCGCATCCCCAGCCTGGACTCGTGGACCGCATCCTCAGCCTGGACTCGTGGACTGCATCACCAGCCTGGATTCGTGGACCGCATCCCCAGCCTGGACTCGTGGACTGCCCTCCGGTTGAGCCAAGTTACCTACTCTACTATACTTCACTTCTCAGATTACAGTTACTAGCAAAACGTATAGCTAGTAGCTACTTTTAAAGTATCTTGCAGCCTAACATGGAAATGCAATGTCTGTTTCCAGAGAAGCTCTCCTCAACGCCTAATCTGCCGTGTGGACCGCATCCCCAGTCCAACCCCTCCTTGGCTCTCCCTTTCCAGATTGAGCCAAAGTGCCTCTTGGTCAGGTCTTCCTCTTTAAAAAAAAAGGACTCACTTTCTGAATAATTATGATGGAGCATAGGGTTCACACATTTGCCAGACTCTTTGAGGTTAATAGAATCTTTTGTGTAGTGTAGAAAGGAATATTTTGACTTTAAAGTCTTAATATTATGAGAATAAAGTTGAAGAACTAGGGACTGGTGCTATGAGCGTTGAGTGGCAGCTCACATTGCCACCCCCCCGACCCAGAAATGGACAAAGGGGTTGAAAATGAAATGAAAAAAAAGTTAAAGAAAAATGAAGTTTGTGCATATTGTGTACAAACTGCCCCATGTACAAAGCAGCTAAATAAACAGAGTTCCCACAAGTCTTAGAAGGATGTCAATACTCTTAAACTGAGGACACAGTGTTACTTGTTACACACAGTTGAAAGAACATGTATTTATATTACTTTTTCACACACACATTCATCATTCATATTCAACGTTTAAAACAGATAGTGTGAGAGTAAATGGAAAGCGCAGCATTTGGGGTTAGATATCATCGTTATGACAATAAGGTTGTATTACAAAGTTTTTTTGATTTCGTCTTTATTCTTGCAATATTTTGAGAACATTCTCATAATGTTTTGAGTGTGCTCTCATATTTTCACAAGATGAATCTTTTTTTTTTTTTTTAAGTCCAAATATTCTGATTTATAATCTCATGGTGTCTGGCAAAAAAATACAACGGGGCCCTATGCTCCATTGCAATGACTTTGAATAACAATTATACATTGGATTTATATTACACCATTTATTTTAAAGAAACCTCAAGATACTATTTTGTTTGATTCTCTAATGTGCAATTTACAATACAAATATTTTTTGGATTTTAATTTCTCATTTGTACATTAGGCCTCATTCACGAACCGTTTTTAAGAACAAATTTGTGCTTCCCATCTATAGCACCACAACAAAGAGGGAAGTTCCACTGCTCCTCAAACTCCATAGCAGACAACCTCCACTCCTCTTCACCAGGCACAGGCATGAACTCCTCCACCAGGCCGTCCCAGATGGCTGCCACCACATCTGGGATGATGCTGGAGATGCCCACCCTGAAACTGCCCCCAGTAGCAAGAAACCTACAATGATACAAATACGACTCAGTAATATACAAAAATATTGTTAATGAATCATACAATATGATTGTGTACATTTGTTTTCAGGAATTGCACCAACAATGGAAATGTAGTGAAATCACAGGGGGGTTAATCACTTGGGAATCTGAATATATTAAGTACTAAGTAGCAGACAATGCTGTTTTTACTTAATAAGCTTTAAAACATGCTTGTAAAGGAGATGGCAGGCCCTGCCATTGTAAACAGTGAACATTTAACATTTGATCAGTTTTCTAATAACTTCACTACAGTGACACAATGCACCTTCAAAATGACTTCAAATGCACAAACGAGGGCCATAGCAAATATATCAATCGTATTAATAATGATTACTCCAAATACAATCGTTATAACAGAGAAAGTCTGTAAAAAAAAGCCTCCTTGGGTTCACGGGTGTTCAGCGCCGCCCGTTCATTTGAACGAGAGACTTCAAAAATTCCCTGCGACTAAACTAGACTGGTCCAGAACACTCAGCATTGACACACATGTGGAACGGAGCTTTGGGCCAAGAGACAACTTTGGACCATCCTGTAAAGACGTTTTCCAGAGGTAAGAAGATGCTATATGTTAGCATTGGTTAATTTTTATTCTGGGTCCACCCCCACAGGCCCGGGGTGGTACTGCAGCATGTCAGGGCACGTCATTTTGGCCACTTTTCAGCTGGGACCCGCTCACACTGGTCTGAACGCGCCTTTAGGCAAGGCAAGGCAAGGCAAGTTTATTTGTATAGCACAATTCATACACAAGGCAACTCAAAGTGCTGAACAAAACAAGAAAGCATTAAAATCATAAATAATCACAGTACATAAAAAAAACAAATAAAATTAAAAAAAGATAAAAATATAAAATCCCTCAGTTGTAGCACAGCTAAACAGAACCGTCTTTAACCTGGTTTTAAACATTGTCAGAGAAGAGGCCTGTCTCCTCCTAATGTCTGCGTTTCCACCGTCTCTACTTAATGGTGCTTTCAGACCGGATCATGCTGCGTCGGGTGTCAATGCAAAGTCTATGGTGGCGCGCGTTCGCCCGTCACAACGCACGGACCGCTCGGTTCGCACGAACGGACTGTTCAATAATGACGCACGGACTTGGCGGGAAGTGAAAAAGGAGGAGCAGGAGCAAAAAATCAACGCCCACAGGAGATGGATTCTGCTCATCCTTTCCTCGGGACGTTCGTGCGACAACCAATCAGAGAGCAGCAAAGTGGTCACGGGGACATTAGCGGACTGAGAGAGCAGACTGAACATACTGTAAACAGCCAAAACAGGAGCTACACCAGGACTGAACCAGGGTTGACAATGGGGGACTCTGTGCTTGTGAATATATGCGTTGTCATGCTCCCGTGACCTTATGCAACTGCTTCGAGTGTGTTCACCGATGTGGAAATTCCGTTTAATAAAATGAAAACACGTATGGCGCACCTCCGTGAACACATACTACTGTTGTATAAAGCCCGTGGAAGGTCTGTGAGCAAAGACACGCTGCAAAGCTGCATATTGGAGAAGATCTTTACACAAGAAGCCGCTAGCATAGCTCTGTTAGCATCAGAGCCGGCCGGCTACTTCCGGTACTTCCGGCTCTCGTCAGGACGTTCTGGTGTGAAGTCCTCTGCGTCTGAAAACTAGAGAATGCGCGTCTGGGAGCGGGGCTTCAGCGTTTCAGCGTTGGCGTCTGAAAGCCCCATAACTCAACTAGACAAACAAGTGTGTTTGCGTCTCGCTTTCGTCTTCACCGAGTGTTGAGAGAAAAATGTCTGAACTCTGAACATCGTGAAGCCTTTTGGGTGACCTTGGTCTGTGAAAATGCACTATATAAAACAAGAGTACTTACTTACATTTCTGTGTTTGTGGACAGTCATTTTCAAATTTGGAGAGGAACAAAACATCTCTACCTTCTCTCTCTCCCTCTGGTGGCAGCTTCAACAGCGCCATCTTTACTGAACAGCGTTTATCACATCATTCCCTCTAAAAAATGAGACTAACACTTTTTATACTTTTAACTTAGGATCTGCAGTATAATCAACATTTGGTCCAAAACAATAACTGATATTACACAATAATTTCCATGCATACACTCACATTAAATGCAGTTATATCACTGAAGTGCAACAGCAATAATATCACAGTAACCACACTGAAGAACGCTTTTCCTTAAAGAAGCTATACCTGATTTTTTTTCTAAGTAGTTCATAAAAATGCTTTTTACTACATACAAGTTGTATCATAATACATCATTTAATTGAAAACTTGAGGTCATTGATTCCACTGTGTAAGAATTACAAGCAGTGAAAAGTGCTGAGTAGAGTCTGAGCGGGACGTTCTCCTCCACTCACAGAACGAGCAGCGAACAGCCTGCGTCCTCTAGTCTCTACAGCCTGTGTCCTCTAGTCTCTACAGCCTGCGTCCTCTAGTCTCTACAGCCTGTGTCCTCTAGTCTCTACAGCCTGTGTCCTCTAGCCTCTACAGCCTGTGTCCTCTAGTCTCTACAGCCTGTGTCCTCTAGTCTCTACAGCCTGTGTCCTCTAGTCTCTACAGCCTGTGTCCTCTAGTCTCTACAGCCTGTGTCCTCTAGTCTCTACAGCCTGTGTCCTCTAGTCTCTACAGCCTGTGTCCTCTAGTCTCTACAGCCTGTGTCCTCTAGTCTCTACAGCCTGTGTCCTCTAGTCTCTACAGCCTGTGTCCTCTAGTCTCTACAGCCTGTGTCCTCTAGTCTCTACAGGCTGTGTCCTCTAGTCTCTACAGCCTGTGTCCTCTAGTCTCTACAGCCTGTGTCCTCTAGTCTCTACAGCCTGTGTCCTCTAGTCTCTACAGCCTGTGTCCTCTAGCCTCTACAGCCTGTGTCCTCTAGTCTCTACAGCCTGTGTCCTCTAGTCTCTACAGCCTGTGTCCTCTAGCCTCTACAGCCTGTGTCCTCTAGTCTCTACAGCCTGTGTCCTCTAGTCTCTACAGCCTGTGTCCTCTAGTCTCTACAGCCTGTGTCCTCTAGTCTCTACAGCCTGTGTCCTCTAGTCTCTACAGCCTGTGTCCTCTAGTCTCTACAGCCTGTGTCCTCTAGTCTCTACAGCCTGTGTCCTCTAGTCTCTACAGTCTGTGTCCTCTAGTCTCTACAGCCTGTGTCCTCTAGTCTCTACAGCCTGTGTCCTCTAGTCTCTACAGCCTGTGTCCTCTAGTCTCTACAGCCTGTGTCCTCTAGTCTCTACAGCCTGTGTCCTCTAGTCTCTACAGCCTGCGTCCTCTAGTCTCTACAGCCTGTGTCCTCTAGTCTCTACAGCCTGTGTCCTCTAGTCTCTACAGCCTGTGTCCTCTAGTCTCTACAGCCTGTGTCCTCTAGTCTCTACAGCCTGCATCCTCTAGTCTCTACAGCCTGCGTCCTCTAGTCTCTACAGCCTGTGTCCTCTAGTCTCTACAGCCTGCGTCCTCTAGCCTCTACAGCCTGTGTCCTCTAGTCCAGGGGTGGCCAACCCGCGGCTCGTGAGCCGCATGCGGCTCTTTGGCTGGTTCCGTGCGGCTCTCGGGCTTTCACACGACAAGCGTCAAAAACGCCTCGGTGGTGGCGCTGCCATTCATTCCCTATGTAGTTCTGACCCATAGTAAAGGCCGACCCCACTCCACTAGCCAGGCCGCCAAAACAATCTGACGTCGGCGAACGTCAATTCTGATTGGTCAGTCACTCTGCAGCTGCTGCCTCAGCTG